CCCCCCCCCCCCCCCCCCCTCAAACCCAACGAAAACCTGGCAGCATAATGCTCCGTCCCGGCATTGATGGGATGCGAGGTTTACGCTCTAACGAGTACCGCCATGCGTTGGCATGAGTATCCCCCCCCCCCGTCTCTCCGCTCTCCGTGGTGGAAAATACTCGGAACGCATGCACTCCGCCGCCACCACTAGCACCTCTTTCCCGCTCACCACAGCATCATCCTAATCGCCAGGTAGAGTAGCACCGCCTCCAGCGACCACGACACAAACAGCCTCGCAGTCCGCAGCGGCTCCCAAGCGCCCCCCTCCAGCCCGTCCTCTCTCACTCCCGATGCGCTCCCACTCCCCCTACCCCCGCCTCTGCCGGCGGCGCCAGACCAGCTGCGCTTGCTGGCGGGGGCGGCCGCAGCTGCCGCCGCCGCCGCCGCCGCCGTCGCCCGGAAACACCCGGTGGCGCATTGCCGTCTTAGCCCGGCTCGAGCGAGCATCCTTGCGCTACCGCTGCTGCTGCTGCTGCTGCTGCGAACGCTGTCGGTGCTGCGAATGCTGTCGGTGCTGCCGGTGAGCGTCGTGGCGGGGGCGGTGGAGGTGGAGGTGGAGGAGGAGAAGGACGTCTGTCGCTGGAGGGCCCCCTCTGGGGTCATGCCCGCTCGGCCAGGCCGCTTCCAGCCCACCATGAACTTGGCGCGCTCTATCGTGTCTGTCACGCACGCACGCACACACAAAGCACAGAAACACTTGCGCATATTACCCATTGATTAAACAGAAAGTGTTGGGTTGTTTTGTATCCCGCTACAAAAACCCGACGGATTTTCATTGGTCTGCCAATTAGCGCGGTCGATGCCAAAATAAAAAAGCACAGAAACACGCAGAATCGCACCGAGGAAAAAAGGCGCATTTCATGCATGCCGTAGGAGGTGGGCGGTTCATCTTCGCTGCGGCAGAGAGAGAGAGACCCTCTACAACAGGGATCAAGAAAATCGTCACTTCTCTCCACAGGTCCCGGGAAAGTGCTTCCACGCAAACCATCGGCATCCGTCGATGCCGTGCTACTGCAAAGAAACACAACACACACGACATTCTCCAAGCAATCTCGGACAGCTGTTGCTCACCCTCCTTGTGCACCCCCCATCGAAACGCCAGTGTGGAACTCCGTCGCTGCCACAGCACCAGGAACAGCTGAGAGCAAGCCGCCGGCATTGTTGAAAACGAAAGAAGGAAAAAGAAGGGAGGCGTGCATGCGCGCAGACCGCGAGCACGCGAGTGCCGTGAAAAACACGCCCAACGACACACCCACAAGAAGAGCACGAAGCGACAAACCTCGAGAGTATTCAACACTGGTTACGACAGCGAGAAATAACGCAAGGAGAGACACACCTTCCCAAGCGAAATATAACGATGCAACACACACACATCGGGATGGGGAATGACGTTCTTCTCGTGCAAACGGGATGCATGCATGCATGCATCCAACGGGGCTTCTTTTCACGCCTTATCAGCTAACCTTTGCCTCGGCACCATGTAGCCTTGACTGCCGCCGACGCCCCGCCTTCTTCTCTCCGCTGGGCAACACCCCGTCCCCCCCCCTGCGTCCCTGTTCTCGCTGTCAAGGAACCACAACACATCACATTACGTACAACTCCCACACCAAAAAAAAAAAAAAAA